GTAGGTGATGTGAATGATGCTGAATTGTTCACAGCGCTGATCAGCCTCTCCTTAGGACGTTTCCTTCTTAAGGTGGATTCAACAATGCTTCCATTGGGGATATCGTCTGGTCTACTTCCTCTGGCCAGCGACAAGAGGCAAGAAGCCGAAACCCTTGGATTCACCGAAATACCAGGCTGTCTTCCGATTGAGACTACACAATTTCTGATACGTTTAGTGCGCGGCCACGTCGCAACGGTGGTATGTTACCGTGGCTGATTTCCATGGTCGACTGTATACTCATTTAAACTCCAAAGACGGAAGCTGGATGTCACATCTTGATCAACATACTCTTGTTGAGAGTTGTATCGGTCATGTGTTCGGGTACCACGACGGTGAACATAATTCCAGAATTCCCTGTCCCTATTGGGAGGGGACTCCCCTCTTGGGGGCCCGCAATCGTTCCTTCCGCATGGGGCCCGTCGGGGGGGGGTCGCTTTCAGGGTGGTCGTTTCGTCCGCCTCAGCGGGGGTCGCTTGTGGTCGCCTTTGTCATCGCTTATCAATGGACTCTTGTCATCCAAGTGGCGCATCACCTTAGTCATCGCTTATTAATCACTTTTTTGTCCGAGTCCAAAACCATGCTCCTTGTCGATGTCATTCCATCCATGGTCTCACGACATCATCGCATCAAGATCCCGGCGACATATGACCAAAATACTCGAAAATCATGGACGCGTTTTCATCAGACCGTGGGAAATTTTGGCCTCATATCTTTGTCGTGCTCCTCGTCTTGCTTGTCCATCCATGGTCTTGTGTCATCTTCTCGTCGTATTCCCGGCCGCATACAGTCATAATGCTCAGAAATATGGTGCAAAATTCAAAAAATATAAATTGGCAATGGCAGGAATTGAACTCAAGATCTCAATACGATGATCCATCTTTACCACTCAACCATAATGGCTTTTACTTCCTAGCTCACAACGGCATATATCGTAATGTGATCTCTAATAAATCTCTTATGGCTTGCAAATGTAGGAATGAGTCACATGCTTACAAGGGTAAGAAGGCCCCTCAAAGTGGGAAACAATGTCATGCTTGTGGCGCAAAGCACCGAGTTCAGAAGCCTTATAGTCGTACCACAGTATTGCCTACTCGGTGTGGTTTGTCATATGCATTGTAGAGACTGACATAGCTGTAGCCTCATAGCAGCCATATCCACAACTTGTGCTAAACACCTCTCCAATCATTCCCTATGCAAAGTGCAACTCTTCCGCACCAAGCGTGCGCTACTTTCCTACACCAAGCGCTGCATTCTTGTATACCACCAGTATACCATGTCCCCACACTTCATAAAGCAAAGTACTACATTTGCAGTCCCCATCGCTCTCACATATGAGCATATTCTGTTGGCAGGAACCTCTGTGTCTAGGAGTACGTTCAGATACTGGTCTGTCTTTTGTATCCATTGCTGATAGTCATGTCATGGTTTAGCTATGGCTGGACAGGCTCGGCTCTTACTGGTTTTCCAGCAGTTTGGTGGTCTCCATGAACCAAGTCACCTATGTGCAACTTGGTCCAGTCCGCAAGCCACCTGGACCAGCACGAACCAGCACAAGCCAACAATATGGGAACAACGGCTTGAGCTAGCTTCAAGCCACCTCAAACTGTTATGACTTGGATAGGTTGAGCCTTCTGCAGTTGAATAGCTGATCTCGAGTGGTCTTGCATAGGTGGAAGGATGAGTTCTAAGCTCAAATGTCTAATGAGCGAGCCGGGTCATGTAAGCAGCAAGTCCATCAAAACAACTCACCAAAGGTTGTGCATCAATAGCACTCATCTACCAAGAGTCTGCATCTTCCGCCAATTTACCAAGTTGGTGGATAGTTTATTACCTCAAAACAAATCAATCGATAGGTGACATTGGTGTACTGTGTACCTTGTACTACAGCAATAACATGCTCTGCAGTTGAAAGAGGGCTTAGAAATACCGGTGATCCACGGCATTGTACCTAGGATAGGAAATGCTCTAGCGTGGTGCCATCGGGGAGCCATAATCGCATGATCTCATTCATTGATGCTGCACGACTAGTGTGAGCTGTCCAATGAAGGATTGGCTTCTGAGGTCAGAGGAAACACGGATGGCTTGATGAGGTTTAACATTCATGTTTCTCCTCTGGCTGTTGAAGCCATATAGGAGCAAGAAGTATTCACGTCCCATAGCGAGTCTGCCAACATCAATGCTCTTTTAGAACTAAGGGCCAGCAAAGAGGAACATACACGAGTGGATTTGTGAGGTTCTCTACATGGTAACTGGCATCATAACTGTAAGTGAGATGAAGGTTTAACGAGTCACTGCTGGCACCTATTCGTGATCATGACTGCCCAGTCTAAACCAAATTGAGAGATGCTCGGAACAAATAGGGCTGTGGACTGTAGCAGTCTGTCATGCAGAGTGTAAGAACGTGCTCAAGGGTCAAATCCGAAGGGCTTGGCTTCAGCTCGTGCGCTGCGCCCCTTACCCGAGTACGTGCCCCTAACTTCGAAGGCTGTCGAACAATATCCGAAGGTTACCGGACGATGTCCGGAGGGCGTCGGGCGATGTCCGGAGTCCGATGTCCGATGCACGGGACTTCCGGGCGGACGTTCGGGAACAAGAGATAAGGACTAATCCGGACAAAGTCCGAACTAGAAAGGAAACAGCGGAGGACTACCAAAGGTAGAGGCGGAGGGTGATAAGTCAATCTAAGACGGCGGAGGTCGGACGAGAGGATAACTCAAGTCGGACGGAGGAAGGCATGAGCAGAGTCTCAGATAATATTCGAACTAAAGATGTACATAGATTCTACAGGGTTTATATACTACTAAGATGCGAAGTCCAAAGCTATACAAGCGGTGGACGGAGCGTATAGAAAAGTCAAACGCTAGTCCTATCGGAAAAGTTAAATGAACCCGGAGATTAGATCAGAGGAAAATAAAGGGTGGAATGGAAACGAGGTACGGGAAAATGATTTAGTCTAACCGGAGTCGGAACATACAAAGGGATAAGGCACGGAAGTTAGATGCGGGTCGGATCCGGACATAGATAGACGTCAGCCGGATCCGGAAATGATATGTGATAAGTCTGGGTCTGGAACGCGGGATATGACACAGAGGCACTTGACAATCAACAATACATATTTGATGGCAACTGCAGTCTGGTCAGTGATCACTTGCAATGGAAATGAGGCCACTCACATATTGGATTCCCATACATGAACAACGAGATAGTGACTCAGGGTGACATAGTTATAGCAAGCCTACCAGTGGCTCAAATGTTGGATCTCTCCATGAGCAACATTCCAAGGACAGTGCGAGCTGGAGGGTCCTGCTCAACTTAAATCAGCCAAACGAATGATGATACTCTAAGAAGCTACCAACCGTGACATCTAGGGATGAAAGGGGAGGCGAAGTGGGACGAAGATATATACCTGCCATACTACTGCGGATAGTAAATCAATCATTCTGTGTCGTGTATGTCCAACTGAATCTTGATGAGATTCACTGGTCACATCAGTAAGGAACTGTAGCTTTTGGCAGACAGTTGAGTCATATCCGGTGTGTACTCACGTTCCATGCGGCAACAACTTCAAGTTCACACACAAGCTCAAACAGTGTCACATGGAAGCTGAGGCATTCATGTATATTGGACCAATATTGGACTACATAGTAGTGTTTATATAGAGCACAAGGGTATTGAACCCCATCATTGAATCAGTCCAGGCCCAAAGCTGGCCATTGTCAATGGAATCATGAGCCCTCCCCCAACAACAAGGATCAGCCCGCATCCTATCCTTTCGGACAAGGGAAGGCCAAATTCAACAGTGAAGATCCCTGCTAGAACTCCAATGATGGCAAATGCCAAACTCTAGTGCGCCTGTCAGTAATGACTCATTGCGATGAATACCTTATTTCACCTCATCAGGAATGTGAACATCAGTATACTCACAAGGATCACAAAAGTGCCCATCTCCTCTTGTAAGTAATATGCCTATCCAATCGATATTGTCAGACCAGGCTGCAAACAAAAAAAAGAAGATGATCGCACTGAAAAGTCAAGGTATCTCAAGCTTTGAACCAATTGTTGTGCAATTGCACACCCGATGATGCTGTAGACACAGAGAATGAAGGAGATGGAACACAATGCCTTCATAGCCAGTTGTGTACCTAGACCGGGGACTGCAAGGATGCTGGCATTGACCGCCATAATGACACTTGCCTGTCAGACAAATAGTAAGTGTTCTCAATTAGGCCACGATGTAGCACTCACCACGGTAGTTTGAGCTTTGGCCTGGGCGCTGAAATCATCAGTAAATCTCCTGATGTCCACCCCATTTATGAGACCATCAACATAAACATGTTTAAGACGATCTAGCATTAGGAATGGAATCCAAAACATAGCAACTGCAGTGCCAGTCAGGAAGGGAGACTTTTGAGGGGTCCACGCTTCCCGGCCACCGAATGCACATCAAGCGCACTTCGGGTTGGCCATGGTGATTTAGGTATTCGTGATGGCCTTTGAATATTCAATCAGGATATGTCTGGTATGAGAAATAGCATCGTACGGAGAATATATGCTAATCTGCCTGTTCAAGATAAATTTATAGTTCCAGTCTTTCCAAGGCTCACGTACCATAGATGACGGTACATGTTCCATCCATAGCTCCATCATGTCTTGCAAAGTCCTCTGTTTTGGTCATCAACTTGAAGATGTAGCTTGAGATCAGCGTGCATGCCTACAGCGGCCATTTCCTTCATTTTGTCGGTGTAGAGAATCATGCCTCTCATGGTGTGATATGGCACTTTACACTAGGAAGTATACAGCACAAACTTGCAGCATCATTCTGTGTGCTATCTGCAGCGATTCCTATATGAGGCGCAGCTTTCCCGCGCTTCACGATGTATATGCGCGCACGCGTTCCCGCGCTTGAGTGCCTTATAGCACCAGCCATCTAGAAGCATCCATCCACTGTCCACCAAGCCCTCTAGTGCGTACATTTCCATTTCTTTTATTAGCATATCATTCCACCATTATTTTTATTATGGTTTCTCACTCATATATATCTTTGCATACCTACTCGGTAGCGCTTTGGCTCCGCATGACCACGCTTAGGCGCGCTATATAAGTGCCAGCAGTACATACTATTAGGGATCTGACTTTTCCTACTTTGCACTTTTCACCTTACTTTAGTTACTTTCCACCCACTTACTACCTAGAAACTCGCAGTAGAAATCTATTTGTTTACACTTCGCATCACTCTTCTCTTATCTTATATCATATCATCACTTAAGTTTAGTCTCTCTTATTTCCACTTACGCGCGCGCGTTCCTGCACCTTGCGCGCATCTGCGTTTTCTCGCGCTTCGCTTCCGTGCATACCCCTAGATCTTCGCTGTACTCACTTCCCCTTTAGGGTCGAACACACTTGTCTCCTCAAGTAACGCAGACTAGGCAACGTACGACCTTACAACTTTTACAGATACAGTCAGGAGCATCATTTGTTCCTCTTTGTATTGTAGTTTCTACATCAGGTTTCCAAAATATCAAAGCCGCCATTGAGCGTTCCATGGTGGATGCTTCTATTTATTCCTCAGGTTCGTCTTGTTCAGGCGCTATAATGCTGAAGAACTCACCCACACGATACCAATTCAACTTAATGCACAAAGTTCTGACATCCTGGAGAGGTATGTCAATCCCGTGGGGAAAGTACTTGGCGTGTTTCCTGGTGCAATTGAAAATGGTTGCTTCCATCAGAATGGCGATCTTTAGCTCACCAGTACTGAGTGTTACGACAAACGGTCGTGTGCGACTAGGATGATCTAAACAGCGACAACCACGACAGTGGTACCGAGTGCTGAGAGTCGTCGGCCTTTACAGACAAGCAAAGGTTGCGTACTCGAACATAGCTCGTGGTGGTTAACGAGGGGTTACGCCGAGATGATAGCGGTTTACAGACAGTGAGAGGCGTCACTGAAGGTACGAGTCGATGTCGAGCAGGTAGCTTTAGCAGGACAAGGAGTTCAAGGGTAAACCTAGTTGATTAGACTAGTTTCTGGGTAGTACCTAGTAAGATTAAAGTAAGGAATGTCTACTTTAATCTTCGACCTTATATAAGGCTACTCTATCGTATCTAAGCTCAGCTCAAAGCTGGGTTCTAATCTGCTTATCTACTTGAGTCAGAGATAGCGTCCATGAGGCGGGCTTCTATCGTAGATAGCGTCCATGCGGTACGCTTCCATCAGAGATAGGATCCACGTGGTATCCTTCTATCAGTACATGAGGCAACACGAGGCTTGCCTTCTATCTTGATAACATAAATAGGTCTTCTAGACCTATGTCGTCATGTCATGTCACGTGCGGTCCAGACCGCTTATCTAAGCCGGCAGTTGCCGCTTATCGTCTATCATCATCTATCGTCGTCGTCATCTGTCGTCACAGAGCTGGTGAGACTCCGTTATCGTCTATAGCCGTGCGGTGGCAGAGGGCTCTCTGCTGGCGGGGGACTCGTGCCATGTTACTGTAACACTGAGCCTCCAGTTCGAGTCCTGTCCAAAACAAGTTCAATAACAAAAACCACAAAAAAAATTGACATACTTTTATGGTTCCAGTGCCGCACCGTTGTACATTCCTGGAAAAGAATATAGCCATCCACCAGTTCTAGCCAGGCAATGATCCTTCTCTCCAGAACCACATAGTAGTATATATAGATGTCTATTCCTCTCATTCGGAGCGGCTTGACTACTAGCAACCATTTCCTGCCGTTTAGTTTGGATCTTGACACCTTGATCCACGACTCGAGCCTCTGGAGCTGTGCATCTGAAAATTCCGTCATGTTAATTTCCGCATATGTTTTCTTTATTCTCATCAAAATATATAACTCGGAATACCAGCTGCGCTCACCATTTTCATGTTATAGTGGTATAGAGCTCCTGATGGATGGTCCAACTCTTCCCAATCACCGCGTATTTGAGACCTGTCAAGATAGCGGTTAAGTTGATACTGTGCTAAATGGAAGTCACGAACTGAGCCCAATCAGTCTGCATGACCTCGACGTTGTAGTCGTGATGTGGAATGACGTCCCTATCAAACAAAGCCCGAGTCAGTACCCAATGAATTTATCCTAGTAATGATATACACTCACAGCATTGTTATCTGAGTGTATTGCTGGAGTTGCGTGGGCCAGACAGGGACACTATGCTCCTGCAACTGTATCTGCTGGTCAATTGTGGGGGCTTGCATGAGGTACAAGTCTTCAAGCTTCAAAGCTGAATGTACCGTCATGTCCATGGTTTGACTTGTCAACGTTGTTCACACGATGTGATTTTGTATTTTTGAATTCACACTGTTTTATCATAATAGCCCCACTAGGAACATGCTGCAATGCTGATTTGACTAATTTAGTCACAATAACAATATATAACACTAGTACAAGATAACACCATAGAACAAGCGCAGATGCATCACCAGAAGAAAAATTAGATGAGCATTGTACTAATACTAGTGGTTGCTGGATATCAGATGTGTTCTATGTTTAGCACAGAAGTAGTACCGGGTATAAAGCTGTAAAGCAATGGAAATGGTAGTTCTAGTTGTAGCTCATCAATGATATATAGTACATGTGTGATGATTGGCGAAGATTGTACAGATTGGCCGAGTCAGTCCGCCAGTGAAGATGGTAGTAGTAGTACAGATGGGCCAGAGTCGGTCAGTCCGTCAGTGACGATGGGCAAAGCTTTGAAGATCCGATCGGCATAGCTAAAAAAAGTTGCTGGATGCTCAATGTTTCAAATGAAGACATACACTTACCTGAAGTGTTGACTTCACTTTATTTGCTGCAGCACGGAGCTTTTCAACTACTGCGACCTGATGCAGATGACAGTGGGATGGCCACATAACGACCAATTGGGTAAACTGCTGCATAATTCAAGTAAGCTGCCGGAAGCATTACACTACGCAGTCTTACCAAATTGAACCACTTATCTACTTCTCTCTGATAGTATCTGTTACTTACTCGGAGGCGGTCATACAATTTTACATTACTTACCACTACTTTTCCATCTTTCACTAGCAACGGTCCATGAGCACCTGCATGTGGTATGCGAGCCATTTATATGTTTGTATGATGTGTGGGGGATCGGCAGAATTGATTCAGGGGTGTGGTACCTTGAGATCTCCCGAAGTAGTTGAGTTTGTGCTGAGTTGTCATAATCAGATCTTATAATGCTGTGGCAAATAAAGATAAACAATTCAACATTTGCCTAATTAGGCTGTATGAGTCTCTGATTCAAATTAGTTGGACGACGTCAACCTTTGACCTGTCATCTCAATATTGCTAACCCCTCTTCATCATTGTTCTACTTGGTGCAATCATCTTAAGCCCGGTATGTTGAAACTATCCAGAAGAAGGTGGTATTTTGGGATACTGCTGTTTTATTGGGTGTGTTACTCTTTTCCCCTTATTTCTTTGTCTTCTGGACTCTAAATATCTCCTCTTCGCCTGACTGCGCTATCAAGAACCTCCCAGTGCCCTTACAGCCTCCCTGGAACTCTCTTTTCACCTAACTGCACCCTCCAGCACCCACTTGATTTTGCTTTCGCTCATGCCAACTATTCTATATCTAACCTCCCACTATCTTTTGAATGCTTTATGTCTGACTGTAAGTACTTGAGTCCTCCCTATTCTACATCATCTCATACCCTCACCCTAGTAAACTCAAGGCCTTCTTCAAGCAACCTGTCCAGCAGCTCTATGATGTCAGTCTCGTAGTCACTCTTATGTCTCATGCTACCATTATTGGTCATATTGATTCGGGCAAGTCAAGCTCTGAAAGGTTTGCATTGTTCACTACTAGCGACTTCTTACTGATGCATGACAGTATTCGAAGTAGATACCTGTGAGGCTCAGCGCCTCTGTCTCTTGTGCCTCTCCCACATGCTGTGACCGCCCTGTACACCTGTGCATGCAGTGTACCGCAGCTTTCCTCAGCCCACTGCACCCTCCCCCTGTTACCAAATTACGCACTCTCTTGCACTGATAGCATTAAGCTCCTCTCGACCTCTTGTCTTGAATCCTTATTTTGTTAACGACATTGAAACAGGCCAAATAGATTTCATGTGGTTAATTTTTTGTTCTCTATTCACATATGACAGGCAGAACAAAGTAATGGGCTCATTCACAGTGGTATGAATGGAGTGATGGGCCCAAGCAGATACTACCTCATATATGGCTGAACCGATGCTGCGGCGATATGGCGCCCAAGAGAGCCCATATCATGTCCACTGAATTGAGTAGGCCCGGACCTCGTATGTGCGGCGGATGGGTGGGCCTGTAGCACCACTTTCATGAAAACCGCTGGGCCCTGCTCATGATCTTGGAGCTCATAGGCTGGCCCCATAATATGACCGCAGCCCCAAGGGCCCATATGCATTCCTCTGGGCATCTGCATGAGCCCAGGGAACTCACAATTGTATACCGTCGGGCCTACGCCCTGTAGGGCGGCAGGCAGGTGGGCCCAATGACATGAGATCAACCCAACAGGCCCACCCCCTCACGTCGAAATATGCATATGGGCACGTGGACCTACTGCCGGTGGCAGGATGTGGCCCAAGAGTGTCTTAAATCAGGGGTGGGCCCACATCACATCACACGAGCAGAATAGGCCCAGTCCTGGCTAACGGGATTAACAAGCAGGCCCAGTTGGGTTACACTCAAAGCAGCACGGTTCAGATGTAGATGTCAATGAAAATGTCGATTTCGATGCAGACGACGATCACGATATCCCAATAGACCTTCTGGCAATGATCAAATACCCTGGACATTCACATCCAATCACGAATTACTTCAGAATTGCCAAGTTCCTCCAGTACAGGGAAATTGGGATGGTCCCTATGCCACTGTGTTTGTTTGTTGTCGAACACACAGGATTTCACTTCGCTTATGACCTGTTAAGACCATGCACAAAGGGTAGGACTGATTCTGAGGGGCTTGGCTTCAGCTCGTGCGCTGTGCCCCTTACCCGAGTATGTGCCCTTAATTTCAGATTGGTGTCTGAAGAAAGTCCAAAGACGTCTGAAGGACGTCCAAAGGCACGGGAAACTTCGGAAGGACTTTCTGGACAGGTGCAAGTAACTTCCGGATGAGTGTGGGAAAGTTCCGGAAATTACAATGAGGTTTCGTCCTAATACAGATACATGTAATGGCTACTCAGGACTTGTCCTGAGTAGAAGCAAACAGATGAAAGGCTGCAAGGACAAAGTCCGAAGCAGAATAGGTCCGGAGGACCGTGGGAAAGTTCCGGATAGACTTCCGGAAACTTCGGATGAGTGGAGGATTAGATGAGCGGAGGAGCGGAGGAGCGGAGCTCTGGCCTAGGGAATTCCTCCCTAGGCCTGAGATGGATATTGACTAAGTTGGAAGACTAGAACTGATATGAGGACTTAGAGTAAGATCTAGTGCGAGGACTAATATGATATTCAGACTGAGGTACTACAAGACATATACACGAGTTTATATACTAAGAGAAATAACGGAAGAATCAATAAGCAGAGTCCGAGGCTATGTCTGAAGCATATGCAAAGGTTAACAAACGCGAGTCAGAAATGAACATAGGTTAATGGATCAGTAAGCATACCGGTGAAGGTACAACAATTCAGATGGTGAGTCTGAACAATGTTGGGTCTTGCAGAACCTAGCTGCTATTCGACCCTAAAGGGTTTCTGGACCAGGCTCAAGGCTCAGAGAAGAGGAAATATGATAGAAACTTGCTGAATACTCAGACTCATAGTAGAACTGGTGAAAAGGTAACTTGATTATGTAAGCTACAAAAGTGCAAACATAACACTAAGGTAAAAACAGTCTCTGCAAGCCCAGCCAGAAATGAATCCCTACATCTCATGGGAACTTTGAATCATGACTGTCCCCAGTCATCTACCTATGCAAACCAAAGCTAAGCTAAACTAAGAAAACTAACCTGGGGGTCCTCAAACACCTTTTGTTTCCTTGACGCGTATGCCAGGTAAACTGCGCCAGTGAGTGAGGGTCAGGCAATGCAATAAAACGATAATCTCCAGACTTTGCTTTGAGTACTGGAGGAGCAGCGACGATAAAGTGATAAAAAACGCGATGATGGTTGCATGGGTGACGATGGGGAGTAGACGGATAGAAAGAGGCGAACGAGGGCTTCGAAATGAGTATAGGGTCGACTAGGATTGGTGGAGAACTGGGTGAGAAATGAAGGAAATGGTGGAAAATGGAGGGAAACGCGAGAAGTGCGGATTGCGGAGGAACGCGCAGACGTATCTGGAAGCGGAGCGGACGGATGGAAAGCGGCGGCGAATGCGGTCAGAACGAGTGTAGGGTTAATAGGTGCGCGATCGAGGGGCGAGGAGATATAGATAAAATGGTGTAAATGTGCGATAAAATAGAGGGGCGGCGGAAAACGCGAATGGTGGGCGAACGACGGAGCGGATCGGGGCGGCGATGGGCGCGAATGAAAGCCATGAATGAGGGCTTCAAAACGGGTATAGGGTCGATGGGGTTCCGAGGCAAAATGGGCTGGTGAAAGTGCGAAAAAGTGCGGAGGTGCAAGAGGGAGGAGGAGGAAGGGGTATGGTGCAGGGCAACAAGAGCTGGTCCTATCAAGAAGCAGATTGGGGCAATGGACAGAGCCACTGAAGGATGGTAAATGGCCAAAAGAGCTAAAAGACACAGGCCTTTGAGCACCCAGAAAACCCTTATCTCCCCTCAACTTCTCAAAAACACCAAAAACTCGATAACTCCACAACTACTGCTCCAAATTCGATGAGTGAGGGCTCAAAATGACCGGACGGACGTGGGGAATACGACCCTAAGTTTGCGAGAGATCCGCTCGAAAAACGCGTGAGAAAAACGCTTATCAATGCGCTGGGGAGGAGGACAAGATGCTGAAAACTTGGGAATATGGGAGAAGCTGATAAGGAATGACTGTGGTAGGATAATAGGCGAATTTGGGGGATGATTGGAGAGCTGGAAGAGCCTAGAAACACAAGAAACCCTCGCGGTGGGCTCCAGTTGAAGGTACAACAATTCAGATGGTGAGTCTGAACAATGTTGGGTCTTGCAGAACCTAGCTGCTATTCGACCCTAAAGGGTTTCTGGACCAGGCTCAAGGCTCAGAGAAGAGGAAATATGATAGAAACTTGCTGAATACTCAGACTCATAGTAGAACTGGTGAAAAGGTAACTTTATTATGTAAGCTACAAAAGTGCAAACATAACACTAAGGTAAAAACAGTCTCTGCAAGCCCAGCCAGAAATGAATCCCTACACCGGTAGTAAGTATAACCAAGGTACCGGGAACAAGGAATACCGGATAGGCTGTGTTAACGTTATATGCACAGGAAATGAATCAAGAAGCTTATTGTATATCGGATAGGAAATGTATCTATACGTCGGATAGGATCGGATCGGACCGGATCGGATGTGGTCCGGATGAGATGCGTGGATATGCAAGATATAATATTAGGGCAATGGGACAAGGGTGAACGATGCAGGCTAGCTGTGAAGGATAAGGGATCTGGACGTGGACATGCGGATGTGGATGTGCAGAGGTGCAGGGATCCAGATGGGTACTGGAGACATGGATAGGACATCCGAAGGTCCGGATGAGGCGTGGGAATATTATCGGATGTAGGTCCGGAATACGGGATATGACATGACCCCTCGATTAGAAATATATCTGTTGATGATGCTGCCATCAAGTTTGACCTTGCTGACTTACGACCAGCCATTGCCAATTTTCTTCGTTGTGAGGATACTCATGGGAGAGATCATGTCCATACAATTGGGGGGCGCTAGAAGAGCTGGACCCGCTGCTTCACTTCCCTTTGACACACTACAGGTCTGGTTTAAACTTTGGCTGCAGGATACTGAATTCCACAACATTAGCATCATACGGCCTGTGCAAACCTTCAACTGTGCACCCCCTTCTGATCCCTGGACCTCTGGCTGCTATGATATGGTTATCATTAACAATGATGCGGGATGCTTATGGCCCACAAGTGGTCTTCATGGTACATTGTGCTCTCATGTCGCACTGAATATTTACTTATTGTCAAGTCACAGGTCATACTATCAGTCAAATCAGGGATATCATGTGTCCTATTGGAAAGAGTGGCACGAATTGGTCATGGAAGGACTGTTTTCTGGTATATGTGCATCACTTTGACATTGTTCCTCAAAGCTCCAGCACCAATGATTGTGAGCCAAGTACACAGCTCCACTTTCTCAAACGAGCGAAGCGCTCAAATGGTACTTGGGTGACATCATACCCATGACACAGCTTAGATCACCTGTGAACCTTGTCCCTCGCTTCGGTGCAAGTGCAGACAACCGTCTCACCCCGTATAACAGCATGGAGCATGCTTCACAATTTTGGCTCAAAAATTATTGGGACAAGAACACGTATCTTCCTCTTTCTATGTAGCTTTTGATGTGGGGTTACCTTGTTTCTTACAACTTTCATACTATGCAACAAACAGATTGGTTGAGCGGTCTAGCCTTTGGTTATTCTAGTCTGTTTTATTCTTAGATCGCTAGTTCTAAGAATTCTGTCACTATGTGGCAATAAGCTCGAGCGCCTATTGTTTGTCCATTGTTCAAGTACAAAAAATGGCATTTTTTTTCAGGACCATTGACAACGGAATCAAATTATTGTTGTTGGTGTCTATCCCAGAAGTCACTGACATTCACACTATGAACAAGATCACGTCCGACGAGCTTAATTGTCTAGTCACTCACGAGGGTTCACCAGAGGCCTCACAACTGCTTGGACACCTACTTTCTGAAATATTCCAGCCTTTCACAGAACCTCTTCTGGATGTATGCGACCTTAAAATACCTTTCGGAAAAATCATTCATTGTAATAATCGCATCAATCAAAAATTTAGCAAGACATCACCAGATATCCCCGTGCCACTGTATGACACTGAAGCAAAGACTTGGAATTGGGCTCTTCCAGTTGACCCACCTGGAGATGATGATAGCAGCCTTCCGAGTCAGGTCGAGTCATCGGAGAGCAACAATCCACAGGAAGCAACCCACAAAGAAATTTTTGCAGCATTTCTCAATGCTCTGGTTGGCTGCTTGGCGGTGTCACAGCCCAAACTAGTAGCCATGCACTTTGCAACTAGCTCATGGAGTCTTGATGTAAGATCACTCTGGTGGTGCTGTGTCCCCTCACTTCGATATCTACACACAACCTGACATATTATTGTATATCATCACAGCTATTACTTTTGGGAGTCTGGAGTGTGTTGGCTATGATCCCACTGTTTCCTTCTCGAGGACTGTTGCAGCACCCCGAAGCAAAGATATCTGCATCTATTGTCCCATCAAAAATGCTTCTGCCCGATGTACTACGACAGATAATGCTGTTGCTGCATCCACCTCCAATTCTCTTTTATTTCCCGAGGATCCCAACGGAGTGTCCAGCGATGCTCTTAAATAGGCAATCTCCGATAACTCTGATGAGTCTTCTAATGACTCTACTCATGACCCAATGCAAGGGAATCCGAGTGGCCCTCCCACACATGACTTGATAGATGAAGGGTACTTCCCTGCCCCTCCTCCCCCCCAGTGCACCCCAGTGCAACCCACAGCGCTCCCCTTGTTAGCCTCACATCCCAAGTACCCCAGGCTGAGATGACTGAGAGCATCTATTCCATTACCCCTCTCCCTTCCCAATTCCCCTATTCTACTCAATCACCTGAACCCTGTGGCAAGATCTGCATAGGGCAGACAATCTACACCATAAAGAGAATTTTTTTGCGAGACGGGGCCTCGTTGGTCGTGGCACCATTTGCTACTTAGTCACCTTGGACGATGAAGACTATATCATCAAAGACCATTGGGTTGTGGGTAAGGATGATCAGGTAGTCCTGAACAAGATCAATATGCTCGAGTTGATGGATGGTGTCCCTGGTGTTCCAAAGCTGGTAGATTATTGGATTGTTGAACAGTCAGATGGCACACCCGAGCACCCAGGGCACTAGTCACACTCATGTGTGTCTTGTCTTGAAGCCATGTGGTCACCCCCTTCACATGTTCCGAACACTTAAGGAGTTTGTGCAAGCACTAAGAGATATTGTTAAGAGTAAGTACTATCTAGTAATTCATAGGGCATCTTGAACTGATGCTTTCTAATGTTAGTTCAACAAACTGCAGTGGAGGAACATCAGATTTTGCATCAGAATTGTAGTCTTAACAATGCAATGATCCTAAACGACATTGGTGGCAGCGAAGGCTTTCTTATTGACTGGGAGTTTGCAGTTCGCATCGCTGCAGATCACAAATATCCCCTTGGTGGTACAGTAAGTACACTTAGTGTTGATTAGACATTCAGTTTATTGATTCATTTGCCAGGGCACAGTCGCTTTCATGTCACGCGGGCTTCTTAACCAAGTCTCAGTCATCCAGCAGGAAGCCGAGTTAAAATCTCAGGAGAAAAAAGCGACTCAGGGACACAAATTAGTTGAAAAACCGACAACCCCGAAATCGTCCTCTGATTCTAAAGCACTACCTGTATCATACGTCCTTCAAACTTTTTCGGATGACCTGGAGTCCCTTTTTGTTGTGTTCACGTGGGTTTGCATCAAGTTCTGTGGTCCCAACGGCATGGTGCACAAGGAATGCTCACCCAATTTGTTACTAAATTGATGGACCAACCTTGACCTGGCATCATGCACCGCCTTCAAGATCACTTTTTTTGCGAATCCGACAGATGGAAAGTGTCTTATAGACAAATTTCACCCATACTTCAACCCCCTGATCATGATCCACCCCGTCACCTTCGACATCATTCTTGGTGTACTCAATTCTTATCTCGACAAGGAGCTCGTATCTACTGTGAACATGCTCAGGAATGATGCTGTCATTCTCACACATCGTGTCAAGGGCAAACAGATTGCTTCAGAGTCTTTCTCTGTGGCAGCCACAACACCCAAGCGGCAAAAGTCTCGCCATGGTGATACTGAGTCTGACTCCTCAGCATCAGGCAGTGATGCATGACCAGACATGGAGCTTGTATGTATGAAAGATCATTTAATTTGGGCACCCACTCATTATGCATATTCAGCTGTTATTCTTCTTTATTGATGTATGGATAGCATGCCACTTGACTTTAGTATTTTTAGAACCTCGTTGATCGTCTACTATTGCCAGTGACTCGGAGATTTGGGCAAGATGTGCTTACAACACTTACTTACCAGCACCTCATTTATTCCTACTAATATATCATTCTCTCAAGCTCACAATCAATCTATTACTAGTCTCTGTGCCGGATTACTACTATGTGACGTCCAGACATGATTACATAAGATTTTGACTCATGTGATCGGCAATCTGAGTCTGGCACTTACTAGAGTACTACTACTAACTGACGTGTTTTTCTAGTACATTTTCTAGCGGACCACAGGCTGGACTCGGACATTAAAAATGTGCAGTTCTCCTCCTCCAATGATGACCCGACAGCTGCACATCAGCTCAGGTCATGGTGTGTTTCTTTAGCACTGTTACTGTTACTAATAATGAGGTTTTTCTCGCTAGTCATGCGAATATTGAGCACGAGACATGATATTAAATCCTCGTGATGACTTAGGTGTGTTTCCTTATTACTATTGGCCTTACAAATGATAAAGTTTTCTCTTGCTAGCCATGTGAATATTGCGCAGTACGCACATGATATAAAACCCGTGTGAGTCTGATCTAATTTGTTAGAGTCGCCTTCTCCTGCATTCTTTCTTGCAGTCATGCCTCCTCGCACTGTCACCAGTCCCAAGAAGAAAAGGTCCAAGCGCAAAGGATCTGAAGCTTCAAAGGCTGGCTTGCCCAAGAAGACTCGAGCTGCAGATGTTGCTGAAGTACCTGGTGCGGTACCTCTTATATCCCTTGGCCTCACTGCAGCAGAAGTGGGAGACAATGCACCCCGGCGTTCTGGCCACCCTAATGCAGGAACTGGAGGTAGGAATGTGCAGCTGAAGAAGATCAGATCAGCACTACAATCTAAGCCTCGAACCTATGGATGTAAGGGCACGACATCTCTTGGCCCCGACATTCCAGTCAATTCTCAAGCCCCAGAACCGCATTGTAAAGGTTAAAAGAAGTCTTCAAAGGTAAGCATCTAATTCATGTTGTTACTTACATTGATTATCCTGCAGGAGGTTCCTCCACCGTATAGCTCACATGATCTAGATAGCCATCCAGATGTCCCAGCCATGGATATCATTCACACAGGGCCTAGCTTTACATTGCAGCAACCTGGTGGAAGGTTCGGATTTGCTGCTCCAAGCACTACAGAAATTGCTCATTCTGATACTACCGAGCTCAATCTTCAGGCATTGAATGACCCATATGTCGCCATTAGGACAAAGGTCATTGAGCAGCGCGTTCCTGATGCTATCGCTGAGCAGAGAGCTAGGGACACAATCACTGAGCAGCGAGCTAGGGACGCAATCACTGAGCAGTGAGCTAGGGACGCAATTGCGGAGCAGCAAGCCAGGGATGCTATCGCTGAACAGCATGCCCAGAATATTGTCCCTGAAAATCCGGTATTGCTAAGGTCTGTGTTTTCAGAGCAGAACTTGGATCCAGCCCTACACCAGGAGGATAATGCTGTTAGGGCTCAGTATTGTTTGAGGCTGCTAGGATCTGAGGAGCACAGTGACTCTAAAGGCAGTAGCAGCAGTGATGATAGCGATGACAGCGACGATGAAGATGCCGATAAAGATGAAGAGGACAATGGAAAGGATGCAGAGGAGGGCAATAACAACGACACAGTTAAGGACTCGCAGGATTTTGGTTGGGGGGAGGTTGGCCAACACCAGAAAGAACATCCAGGTAAATATTCCATAGCGATTTTTTCCCCTTCACTAATTCAATTTTGTAGGATTTTTAGAAGATGCACTACCTTCGCAACCTGCAGTCGCTCATGCTCTCACACCTGAATTTGAATTCCAGTACTCGCGCGATGAAGATGACGTGATTGCCCAAACGAGCCTTGATAAAACCTCAGTAAGTTTTCTAGTCTGGCTGAGACCAATTCTCATTTTAAATTGTTTGTTCAATGGAACAAAAGCTCTAAGGTATGATCAAATCATTCAATTGTATCATGCTTACATTGCTTTTCTTTCAAGGGCCCTCCGGACGGCTCACCAGGACTGCAAGGGCAACGGTCCCAACACATGGAGGTAAGATCAGGGAGATCATCTTAATTGACACTCGTGATTGAGCAGACCATTACCTCGAAGCCCAACAACGTATTGCAATGCCACCATAAGAAAAATGGAAAGCCCCGCCTTCCTGAGCCTGAATCCCTCAAACTATTGGATCAAGTGACCAAGTCTAGTGTTCAGCCATCGAAAAACAAAAAATTCAGGTCATCACATGGTGGGCCAACACCCAATCAATTATCTTGGTACAGGCCGCACTGTAAAAGTTTTCTGGAGGATGCCAAAGCAGAACTTTGTGTGCAACATGCCCTGGAGAACCCGTTGTAGAAACAACAATACTGAGAGGAACAAATGATGCTCCTGACAGTATCTAAAAATGTTGAAAGGTCGCGCATTGCCTAGTCTGCGTTACTTGAGGAGACAAGTGCGTTCGACCCTAAAGGGGAAGTGAGTACAGCTAAGATCTAGAGGTATGCACAGGAACGCGAAGCGTGAGAAAGCGCAGGTGCGCGCAAGGTACGAAGGCGCGGGAACGCGCGCGCGTATTAGCGCGAAGCGCGGGAAAGCGCGCGCGCATAAGCGGAAATAAGAGAGACTAAACTTAAGTGAAGTTATAATGCAAGATAAGAGATATAAGAGTGCAAAATGTAAGGAATAGATTTCTACTATGTTCTACTAGGTAAAAGTGGGTGGTACTCAAGTCAAAAGGTAAGGTAAGGTAAAAAGTAAGTGGAAACTCCCCTTCATAGTATGTACTGCTGGCGCTTATATAGCGCGCCTAAGCGCGGTCATGCGGAGCCGAAGCGCTACTGAGTAGGTATGTAAATATATATATAAGTAAGGGTCCATGATAAAAATAAAGACGGAACAATATGCAAATGAGAGAAATAGAAATATACGCACTATAGAACTTGGTGGACAGTGAATGAATGCATCTGGATGGCTGGCGCCATAGGGCGCTCAAGCGCGGGAAAGCGTGCGCGCGTATATACATCGCGAAGCGCGGGAATGGTGCGCCCATGGTGCGCGTTGCGCGGGAAAGCTGCGCCTCATATAGGAATAGCTGTGGATAGCACACAGAATGACGCTGTGAGTTTGTGCTGTATACTCCCTAGTGGAAACTGCCATATCACGCCATGAGAGGCATGATTCTCTACACCGTTTCCAACTTTGGTGAAGAATCTACCAGGAACAATAACTGAAGTTCTTGTTGCAGTGTTAGTCATGTGGGATACAAATGGCAAACAATTTGAAGCTGGCAAGTACTCATTTGTTCTTATTCGTTCTGGAACTCATCTGTCATATTGTGATGCAGGGGTTTGGCCAGAGCAAAAATTCAATATGACTCTGTTGGTAGGTGTATAATTCATTTTGTGCTGATACCTCACTGATGGTCCATACTGAAAGCTGTACGACGATCTTTCAACTTGGCGATCTGACTTGAAGAAGACCGCCATAAGCACTGTACCAGTATCATATTCGCTTGTTCCTCCGCTTTCAGTCCCCGTTCAAGAATGTGCTGCTTGGATCAAACATGCTGCAGCTGAATTAATCAAAGGATCATTTTTCTTACGGTTTGGGGTGGATGAACAGGTAAGTGATCTGGTGCTGATTGCAATTGTACTAATGAAAGATTGCCAGGGGAGAACACAAAACTTTGCTCATCCTGCCCGTTGTGAAACCGTCATCTCATTCTTCTACACAGGACCATACCGAATTGCGCGAAGGATGCCAGAGATCTTCCGCACGGAATTGCCCCTTTCATGTTTGGCTTTGGTTGCTGCAGTGGTAACTTTCTCTCCTTTACCAATATTGTATGTTGATTTTGCGTCTTTATTATTAGTTCAATTGTGTCCTCGATGGCCTTGCGAAGAATGAACACGGAAAGTCATACCCGAATTTTTCCATGAAGGACTACGGACCTATCTATTGTCGGATGCTGGAATTGCTCAAATATATCCTTGAGGATGCATATCATGGGCCTAGGCTGTTAGCTCAACTGCAAGAATGGGCTGCAGCAGGATGGCAAGGATCTTGACTCCGTGAAAATTTTCATACTGATTTTCATTTGTACAGGGCTGCAGCTATGAATCTCAAAGGAGTTGATGAGGCGAGGCACGACCACCTGCAGATTCTTCTCGACTAATGTTTCGTCCTGTTTTATATCAACCAAGCATTTATCATTTTAGCGCACCATATCATTGTATTCCCGATCATGATCTAGTACCATCTGTCATAGTCATGTGATTCAATATGATTTTTATTTTAAATTTTGTCCAGTGTAATGTAAGCAGTACAGCGAGCAATGTCTGTACAGCTCCGATTCTCTGTATGCGCTGTGAGTGTCTGTACATAGATGGCCAGCAAAAAAAATTGCAATTTAGGTAGAATTTTGTAATTACTGTGTGGTCTGTGGGTGTCTGTACAGAGATCCACAGTGCAAAGTGTTACTGTGATGAACTGACTAATTGGGACCAAGCTGTAGAGCTTGCACACTGTGCAGCACTGTACAGCACTGTACACACCTATTACTCCCACACTTCCTAGCTAAGTAAGAGTTACATCAACACGTTTCCACGCTCTTAATAATGTCGAAACAGCCAATTTGTGAGAACCGGCAGGGCACACCAGCAACCAGCTACCACTTTAATACACTGTAAGGTAGATTTCTTTGTTTGTGAGCACCAGCGGGGCACCCCAGAAACCAGCTCAACACTTATAAGGTAATATATTTGTTTGTGAGCACTGGCAGGGCGCCCCAGCAACTACCAATATGGTAGGAATGTCGACGATGCACGTGCCCCATTGCCACTGTCCCAAAAAGGCAGCTATGCAGCGGCAACACTTTGTCGGTGTCATGTCAGGCAGCGAGCTCACTATCTCACTCATTTCTATGTATTTTTAGGCGTGTTTTAACATATATGTGGCGTATGTTGATTGATTTCCAGTCATCCCACCAAATATAGACAAAAAACATTGATTCAAGATAATATCAAACATAAAAGACAAACTATGCGTCAGTGTGATCATTCTCGTTCTCGGAATCAACATAGGCAGTACTCTTGGGTCCAGAAGCCTTCTTCCCAGCTCTTCCTCATGTGCTCTTCTTTCCCTTTTGGCCTCCATTATCCATCTCTGCTGCCAGTGCCTTAACTGAGGGTTTTTTCAAATGCTTGGACCTCGGTTCCTCGAGAGTTGCTGGTGCACACCACTTGCATTTTGTGACAGCAGTTAGTGCTGATGTGTCTTGAACACCAGAGGGGTCACTGAGAGATGCCGAATGAATAGTCGAGGTGAGAGTGAGATTGGGGGTAGGAAAGATGAGCTCTGGTGTAGGGTTGATGAGGTTGGGTGTAGGGACATCGTTCAGGAGACGTGGATCAATGTGTGTGTCAGGAATTTGCATTGATGGCACATTGCTAGTGGCAGGCGGCAGTGTAGCAGGCATGGGTGGGGTGCTGTTGGCCGTAGGCGGTTGCAAACTGTTGGTGTCATTAGCGACAGGTGGTGGTGTGCTAGTGGTGGACTCAGCCGAGGCGAATCTAATCACATTATGTTATGCTCAGCATTGTTCAGATGTCTTAACGTTTCAAGGATCGAAGTAAAGTCAATGTTCTGATGAAGATGAAGCTAGATTGCAGGCCCTGGTCTGCGTAGGTCAAGTTAAAGATACAAAGTGTAAAGAGTAAGGTATATATAGGAGTATTGAAGCGGAGTTTGAATATGAATAGCAAATAGGAACAAGAGAGAGAGAATCATACGATAGAATGTAATAGAATACTATGGAATGATGAGTAAGCATATGTGACAGCGTGAGGAGGTGAAAAGAATAGAACTGTAACATTACCCACATTTTAAGGGTAGTAAGCCCAGATTACTACAAACGTTAAAGATGATGTGATCATTTATAAAAAGAAAGAATGTCTGAAGTGTTACCCAATTGTTTTTCCGTCAACCACTCGTTATCCAAACTAGGAAATCCCTTCCATTTAACATGGTAAGATCGTCTGGACGATGAGCTGTGATGACCAATGATGGCTTCTACCTCATATTCTTCTTCTCTGTCAATGATATCAGGTGGTTCGTTAATAAAGTTAGGACTGTGTACGTCGTTTTCTTTATAGGGTGAGAGTAGGGCTGCATGGAACACGGGATGAATATGTCACTGAGAGGGAAGTTTTAATTTATACGTGATGGGCGAGAGGACTTGGAGGATGGTAAATGGTCCTTTGCATTTCGGGGCAAGTTTCCAATTAGGATATCTGAGATGAAGGTTTTGGCTTCGAGCCAGACCTTGCTGCCTACAGAGAATGGTACGAATTTGGACGTGATTCATTGACGCATAGTGTTACAAACGAGTTCATGAGCGGCTAGCGCTTCGTCGTGTGCTTTGTTCAGCATAAGTAGACGTTGTTCAATATTAGGGATGTCGGATATAGGATGTGAATCAGGAAGGTGTTTTGGGTGATAGCCCATCATAAGGTAGAATGGGGAAGTGCCACATGCAGAGTGATGTTGTGCATTATGGACGAATTCGGCAAGAGGAAGCATGGCGGCCCATCTGGTCTGGTCATTGGCACAGAAGATGCAAAGGTAAACTTCGAGTTCTTGGTTAACTTGTTCAGTTTCTCCATCACTCTGGGGGTGGAAGGTGGTGGAAAGGGAGTTCTTATATCCTAGGAGTTTTCCGAGTTTGAGTTGGAATCTGGAAGTGAATTGGGGTCCGCGATCTGATATGAGTTTATTGTAAAGTCCGTATCTAGAGAAAACTTTAGAAAAGAAAATGTTCGCGACTCCTTCTGAGTCAATTGTCTTGAGGCAAGGGGTGAATACTACCCCTCTCAAAAGTCCATGGTCGACCACGACCATAATAGAGTCGAATCCGTCAGATAAGGGTAAGTCGGTGATCAGGTCAACTGAACAATGAGCGAAGGGTCAATTAGATATAGGAGGGGGAATAGGAGCGAGAGATGGATGTGAAGGATGAGTGTTTACTTTGTTCTGCTGGCATATGCTGCATCCTTCGACATAGTTCTTAACAAAGGTCGCGAGACCTGGCCACCAATAGTTGCGAGATAGGAGTTCCTGGGTTTTGAAACGTCCAGGGTGTCTGGCGGTGGGAGAGTCATGATGGAGGGAAACAAGTTTGTGGCGGATATCGCCTGGGGGTACATAAGTAAGTCCTTTATATAAGAGAATGCCGTCACTCAATTTCCAATCGGAAAGAGCCAAGCGGAGTGGAGGCGGGGTTTCCTTCATCAATGCCTTTGAGTCATCACCCATCCATTGCCGGAAACCACGCTTGTCAGGAAAGTGTCGCAGCCCAGTGAATGGGGTGACTGCTGCTATCCTGTGTGTTGTTAGTAGTTATTAGAAAAACATCAACGGTTTGCATACCTGCAGTCAATGTCATCTATGATCTTGGCCGCACGACGAGCACCATGTGTGACCTGCAAATATTCGCCCACCCAATCAACCAGATGATCCTTGAAAGTTCCCTTTATGATTTGATGTAAAATATCCGGCGATAGGAGCTTGTGGATGTCTGCTCAAGGAAAATCATTTGTAAATGGCTAGCAAAGCGGACAGGAGAGATTGGACTTGGTGAGCTTCAGCAAACAACTTATGACGACGTTGGCAATGATGCCATGCTCATACCAAGCCTGTTTGTATGTTAATTGTTCAATGAGCAACTCAGTGTGTGCTTCGTGTCGATGCAGACATGGTTGAGTGCCATCAAGATCCTTCCTATTCGCCAGACACCTATTGTGATAAAATGAGTCATTGAAAAGAGAAATAAAAGTTTGTGACATACCGAGGACACCAATTCTGCATGATGCCAGTAAGAATTAACTGTTCTGGATAGTCGGCAATGTATGGGCCCAAGCTGTGCACGGTTTGTCGAAAATGGCCATCCAGAAAGCATGTGACATCAAAAGTTTCCATAAAGGGTTTCACAGACTCGAAAATCTTGGCAAGGGAACACTGGAATAGTTGCCGTCGAAAATTTCTGTACTTGACATTATCGTTATGTTCCTTCGTGGCTAAACAAATGAAGGTCATGATGCAATGCTGCAATGAGAATAACAAGCACCTACATTTCGGTATTGAAAGAAATCCAATGAGCACAACGCTATTGCGATGTGCTCGTCGTACGCTATTGTGAATGTTCCCAATTGAGAGATAAAGCGGGTGATATTCAGTTTGGCCAGTAGTGACAGAAACGACAGTCTTGTTGCTGCCGATAATCAATGGCACGAATGTTGAACCATGATTCTCCTCATTTTGAGCGATAACATCCTTGAGATGATTGTCAGTGTGCTAAAAATGTGAATATTAAAAGGCATACTGCCTGGTTCCACGCCCAGTCAGCCGACATGAAGTTCTTCCAGTATCATTTGTCCTCAGCGGTATAATCGTGATATGGTGAAAACTCTATTCCTCCATCAAAGTCAGAGTTTGCTAGCATGCTGCGCACCATTTGCAATGAATCTCTATACCATACATCATATTGTGCCATCCATGGTGGTACATCTTGTTTGGGTCTGACTCCATTGTAGGACATCATAAAGCTTTTCCAAGGGGTATCACTAAGTGGTGTTGCATCGATAGTAGCATACATGTCCCTATGGTTTGCAAAAGGGGGAGTGTCGTTGTGCTTAATGAGAATTGCGGCCCACAAGTAGAGAAGTGTATTAATCTGCTTTGCGGACATTTGATTACACATGAATAAGAACTCTGCCATCTCAAATTCAGCTTGATCGTTATAAGGTGTCCAGTCGGTCGGGGGAGCATCCATATGAGGCAGTGGGGGTGCATCCTGGTCGATAAATGACCCGTTAGCATCACATTTGAGTCCTAAGTCAAAAGAAATGAGTGACATGGTATGATGGACTCCTAAAAAAACACTCACCTGTGAGGTGTGGATGGAATGTGCGGAATAAACGCCCCATATCCACCCAAGTACCTTCCTCAGGTACAAAGCCTCCATCCTCCTGCTCACCTGCTGTGTCTTGATGGAAATTCTCGTCGATAACCTGATTTTCACCTGTTGGAGTGGGAGAATGACTTCTCGGAGGTATAAATCTGGGACCTGCAAGTGGAGTTGTGCGATTGAGGTCTCGCTGTATTTGTTGAGCACTATGCTTCGTATTTGTGTGTTGGGTGAGGCCAGACTTGTTTTTGAAGACCCTGTTGCAGTTCGGAAATCAACAGACAAGCCTGGTGACAGCTGGGGCCATGGTGAGCGGTGAGCAGTCGCAGTTGGCAACGGATACCAGGAAATGGAGTATATAGAATGCAGATTAGACTAATACTAGCTAGTAAGTGTGTGAATCAAAAATTATGACATGTTCAATATTGAATGAATAAAAATTTGCTGGTTCATTGCCACTTTTCTGCTAGCGTCTACATTCCTTCAACGCCTTACTGCCAATGTTCCTTCAACAGCTTGTCCTTGCTCTCTCTATTCTCTACATATGCCTCGGCCCGCAACATGCCCAGGGAATGCCAACATACATCCCGGACAGGTAGTTCTTGATGCGAATTGTGTGGCGCGCCCATAGGAGGTAATTGCTGCTGAAAAAAAGAAGGCATCAGCAGAGAAATCAGCCAAGGTGACTGCCTTGGATAATGCCCAAAAGCAGGTCGCTGCAAAGGAAGATGCCATGGCTGTCGAGCAGATGGCTCAATGTGCTGGCCCTGGACCCCTTGTCAGAGCAAAGCCTAAGCCGCACCCAGCGACCAAGGCAGTCACAGCGCCAACTGCAAACCTCAACAAGACACATAAGCCTTACGAAATATATAATGTTGCAAGGACTTACCAATCCTATACCATTTGTACAGCTGTTGGGACAAGTCCAGCGTCTCAAGACACCAACACCCAAAGGAAAAAATATCCAGGCTTGAAACTCACCTTCAAGGATGGTGTGAACGCCAGTCGAAAAGTGTCCAATAATGATGTAGCATCCTTAAGTGAAACACGTGTTGGAAGCGCCGTTGATAATGGGAAATTCCGGAAGTCGCTGTAAGTTTGTCTTAACTGTGATGTTACTTCTATCAGAGCTGACTCTTTATTACTTTGATCTGTTCCACTCCCTACAATGTAGGGGATCTGAATCATCCAAGCTTGCAGAGGGAGCGGGAGTAGGGAAGTGGGCCAGAGGTGTGGTGTCCAAGTCCCAAGTGAAGCCTTCTGCGCCACCAAGTGCACGTGCCAGCGGTAAGTACAGTCTGATTTTTGTGCACATCACTAATAAATTTTCAGTGATCGCACACAATTATGCAGAAGGATTCGAAGACGACGACCCACCTGAAGATCATGACGATAGCATACCTACGAGTTGGGGTGGGCTGGTGAGTGAATTCATGCTTGCGAATGGGAACTACTTGAATAAAGGCAGGGCATTGTGCATATTTCTCAGACCACTGATGAACCGAGGGGACGAAAACGTGGATTATCCACGGCCTTGACAGACGACCTTGAACCCGAAGAGCAGCGTGAAATGGAGGAAGACCAAGATGCTGATGAAGATGTTCAGGAGGATGTCGACATGACGGATCAGCAGGGTGACATTGAGGTAAGTACTAGTGGTTCCTGTGAAATAGATGAATCACTTACCATGGTTCCGGAATTTCATAGGTCTGTGAAGTGTCAAACAGTCGGCTCACAACCTCTGTCGGCAGAATCTACTCTGGTAGCCTCAGTACTGACAAATTCCTTTGCAGATGTCAGTTAGTGTTATGGAGATCGCAACAGACGACCAGACACCTAAGTACATCAAAACTGAAAATGGATGTGCACCACTTAGACTCAATCAGAAGAGAGTAAAACCAAAGAATTCGCACCTACCCAGCGGTGCTCAGAACTCGACCTTTCGTTCCGTATTTATTCCAACGGTCATCCACTGGGTCGGAAATAGCCAATATCCATGGACTATCTATCCTGGAGCAGAAGTTTTCAGACATTCTCGACGATATCTCCCTGGTGGTGGATCCCACTGCTGGAAACTTTCAGTATGATGATGGCTGCAATCTCGCCTTCACTCTTGTGAGTGAATTCCTATTCTAGTACTATTAGTTGACCGCAATGCTGGCAGGTATCTCAAAGGATCTCTGAGTGGAGAGGAAATTTTGGCTCCACTGCTATCAGCATCCTCATGACATTTTTTGCCTCGACAGATGAATACAACACTAAGGAGGCACAGAAAGCATACACCGAATATCAACTCGAAGATTCACGCTTTGTGTATGAAGACCCGGATAGTGAAGACTTGCCTGGAGCTTTCTTATCAGAATTCATTTTGCACATCTTCGCTGTTCAACTCAACGCCACCCAAGGATGCCAGATAATTGACTTGCTTGACTTCGAGTTACCTGGACATGCAACAGCCCTTGCACTGACCACCGCAGCCATGAGTTTTGCATCGCCTTTACAAAAGTTACTAATTTATCATTTGCAGGCCGAGTGTGCACTTATTTTAGCTCGCAACGACCTCATTGTGGAAGATACTTCGGACCAAGGGAAACACAAGGTCATGTTGACGCTCAACCACGCCACCAACAAAATGAGTAACACAGGCACTGCTTTTTCTTTGGGCAATTGGGAGACTGATATGATCACATACATGGAGTGAATCAAGGAGCTGCCCTTCGACTGCGTGCAAGAAATCATCCAACGATCTCAAGCGTACATGAAGCGTACTCGCTGCAGGGGTCCAGACAAAGACAATATTCTCAATGATGGAAGTCAGGTCCCCATGAATCTGTGTTTGCATATCCGTATCTGTAGTATTTGTTTCTTTATTTCTTTATTTCGATTTTTCTTGCTCTGACACCATTATATTTAACAGAACTTGGTTGGCCACTATATGTGCGCATCTCCCCGCCTCAAATCATCAATCACTTCAATCCCTGCTCACGCCATCGTCAATTCCTTTCATATGCATTTTCTAATTTTTTTTCATCATTTTCATAGATTGCCTTGAACCAATTGATATCCTTTTTCGCCTTAGTCTACTTAGTATCATTCTGTCCTACAAAATAATGATATCCTTAGCTGCCTTATTTGCCTGATTTTAAGTGAACTGCCTTGGTTTAAGGAAGTGGATCTACTTTTTTCGCCTTATTTTAAGGCAGAAAAACGGCCTTAAATTTGCCTTATTGTACGAATTAAGGCACTTAAGGAGCAAATAAGGCACGAAAAGGCACTCGATGATTTGCTGATGTTCGGGTTTGGACCTAGGTTCTGGACAGACTCCTACCCATCAGCAGTGTGTTGAGAGTACATCCGAGTGCCGCCACACAAACCAAATACAACCAACAATAATTCAAACAGCACAACTTTAGACTCTAACACACTTGGCCGACTGGCACAAGTTGTTGGTGGTGCAAGAGTTTGACCTTGTTTGTATCTCCCATTTGTATCAGCTCAATAATAAAGGCAAGGGGAAGATTCGAACGCGGGTCGTAAGGCAAAAAAGGGAGTATAACTTACCACTACACCATAGTGGTTTCTCTTTCATCAGCAAACCAGCTGGTACCTGTACAATGTTGTACAAGACTGTACAAGCCTGTACAAGCCTTACAGTCACACAGGAAAGTCTACCCTTTACAGTCCTGTCACAAGGTCTCACAATATATACAAATGTTACAGTCTGTGCCTTTGTACAGACAATACACATGATACATGTTGTGTAGGTGATACATGTTGTATAGGTGGCACATGTTGTATAGGTGGCACATTTTATATAAGTTTATGCAGTTGCTAGACATTGTACAGGCTTGTAAAGGATGCAAAAACCATGCTGATTGTCACAAATTACAACATGCTGAATGAGAGAGTATGCTAGATTATAAGATGATGTTGACATCCTCCATATCACTGCCTCCCATACCACCCTCGTCAAAATCAAGGTCACCCGCCCCAATCATAGCCCACTGCTCCAACATCTCCTCGAGCTCCGCACGACAGTCAGGATTTTCTAGAAGTGCGTCTGTAGACCTCTGCAGCGAGTTGAAATCAACCCTACATTTATCTGCAGAGAGGTCTGGGACTTTGTCAGTGCCGGTCTCGCAAAACCCAGTGAGGACACCCTTCATCTGTTGATTCGTCAATGACTAAATAACACAAATAAAATAAAAAACAGGGCACACCACGGCGCCCACAAGAAGCAGCCCATTGACAGGTATTGCACGTTGAAATTCAGATGTGTTCTTGAGGGCTTTCTTGCTATTACCATAGTAGAATTCGAGGCAGCCATCCCTGAGAGCTTGCAAGACAAAATTCTTCCATTTGCCCTATAAAACTAATAGTGAGTGGCTGCCTTGGGAGGCGTAAACAGGTAACCATACATTAGATGAATCAGGAACATAAAGATAATCACCGGTCTTGAGTAACTTGGTGGCCTTCACAATGACACATTTCTGTACCTCATCCTTGCGCGCCATGGTGCCCTTCGGGAAGATATCGTATGATGCTTTCGCGACGGAGATAACAACTTTCTTCAGCTCCGTGCGAAACGTAAATAGATCATCACAGAGCTGACAGTAAAGATATAAGTTTATAGTACATCCATTAATGAGACACTTACCAGCTGCGACATTTGTGTCGTGTACTGCGGAAAATAGCCTAAGAAGCAAGATGAGATTCGCAAAGGGGGTCAGGCAATGTGAGGAACCTATTTACCGTTGTCCAATTTGATCTTTTTTTTGTGGTACATCCACAATTCAGCGTCAAGAACTTCTTGCGCAAGTTGTAGCGCCTCTCGATGATCTGGAATGGGATGTGTTAGAACAGCCTGCAGACGCATTTCTAACTTCGCTGCCTGCAAAAATGCTTGCCAGGCAGGTGGGTAAAAGCCGAGCTTTGCGGGGTCCTCTTGGACTATCTTGGCCTTGCGCTTATTTCTGTATGAATCTGGCTCATCATGTGTAGCATGACTGGAGGAAGTGCTTCGCCTAGATGGAGAACGCCGATGAGGAAACTGCATGTGGGGGGGACGCTGAGATACGCGTGTATGAGGTGATGCCGAACACCGATATGGAGATCTTGAGCGTGTAGAATGGCGAGAGTGCACGCGGGAGGAAGAAGGGTGTGTAGATGGGACACGCTGAGATGTATGTCTAGTACGAGCCGACACCAAACACCGATATGGAGACCTTGAGCATGTAGAATGGCGAGAGTGCACGTGGGAGGAAGAAGGGCGCATGGACGGGACACGCTGAGATGTGTGTCTACAAGGCGACACCGAACACTGGTCTGGATACTTTGAGTGGTTAGAAGTAATGTGAGGTTAGCACTCACATTTAGGAGGTCGCACTAGAGCAGATGACCCAGTAGACACCACATGTCGAGGTGACAGTTGATGAGGAGACTTCGACTGGCTAGAAGCACGTCTGCGTTCAGTATGTTTCGCCTTCAATAGATAAGTTAAGGAAGGAGCCTTGCGCCATCCATTCTTCATTTGATGACGCTCGAGAACATCAAAAGCTTCCTGAAGAGTGTGTGATAAGATTAACCTCAAGACAAAAATGAAAACACTTTCCTCTGTTTCGTCTCTGGCTGCGTTGTCGAGCTCATTGTTGAAATCATCATCAATACCACTGTCCTGAGCGTCAGGTTCGTCCCTCTGAGTACCAGGCTCGTCGTCAAAATCCCCATCAATACCTTGATTGAAATCCCTAAGCATCAGGCTAAACGTTGAGATCCCATCATACCTTGATTCAGAAAATCGTCCACAGTATCGGGCTCATGGTCGAAATCTTCCTGAGCTTCACCTTCGTACATGCCATCCAAATCGTCTTCGTGTTGTCCAAAGTCCGTGGTATCACCTGTTTCAAGTGTTTGCTCCTGGTCCTGAACTTCGTCCCTGCATTGGGCACATGTGACAACAGACGGATGAGATAGTAGCAGAAGATGTACCTTTCCTCATTTTCCCCGTCAGTTTGGTCCTGGTCCTGGTCGTCGTTGTCACCGATACCATGCTCTGGAGCTTGATTTCCAGCCTCCTCCTCATGGGTACGCTCATTAGACCTGTGGCGCCTTCTGGGTGTTCTGACTGCCAGTTGAAGTGGGCTGCCGAAACCCAAACCTACCTGAAGACTGAGCTGTGCTTGGGGCTGTTCGGAGAGATGCGTCAGAGTGTTGGCATCCTGGGTTAGGTTGCTGGCATCCAGGATGGACATTCTTGTTGATACCAACAGAACACTGAGTAAGATTGGAGCTCCCGGTCAGAGACCTTTTAGTAGTAGCCTGAAAGAATGTTAGCTTTTGGGAGTTTATATTAGAATATCAACTATACACACTTTTCTTCAGTTTCTGGAGCTGGGAAGGAGCCATGGGGTTTTCTTCTGCATCACTAATGTCAAGATTGGTCTCCTTCCGACCTTTCCTTGCCGGGGCCGCTAAGAGTCTGTTCGGGCACCCTTGTTTACGCAAATTTGGATTTGACTCACACAAAATTTTGGCTTAGGTGATTTGCTGGTCACAATGTGACATACATAGATCAATCACAATCGCTGGCATGCCCATTACTCGACGACAGTCCATCTATCTACACAACACTCACAGGATGTCACGCGGTTGCAAAAGTGCTCGTGGTGGTTTAGAAGCGACGGAATCAAAGGATCAATGTGTATGGACCGAAATGGATGAGACTTTACTCATCGAGTATATCACTGCCAACCGCCCCAAAGGCGGGGATGGCATGAACTTTGACAAGAAATTCTGGGTCTCTATTGCTGATAGCATGGCAAACCATGCCTGCTCAGGTGCACCCAAGACACCAATGGCGTGTCAATCGAAATGGGCACGGGTGCATGCTATCTCACTCTCGATCAGTCAAACCTTCACTGATGAACTTCTAGCTCCGAAGTCTATACAACGTAGTCCACAAAGTGGCTAACACATCTGGATTGTCTTACAGCTTGGAGAATGGAGCCTCGATTACCGCAGAGTCAGAAAGTATGTGGGCAGACTTTGTCAAGGTATGGCGACTCGACTCTGCACAGCACTATGCTAATGAGTACTACGTACCAATAGAAAAACTCCAAAGCCAAGAGCCTCAAGGACAAAGGGTGGAAGCACTATGACTCATTGAAGGGTCTCATCCCTGTCAAAACTGCGAACAACCACTCCTTTTTTGCCACCGGCATCACACAGCGCTCTAACTCGAACATTGCCAACATTCCCTCACACTCTAACAACAATGCAGTCGCCTCTTCCTCTTTCGATGAAGTCCACATGTCGGATCTTGGAGATGCCCTTGATGGGCTCGAGTTTAGTACCACAGTGCAGGCTGGTCCTGAGCGCGCGACTGTTGTCGCCGACTCAGATCCTCAAATGGGCCCTACCGGTGATACCAATGCCGCAGGGCCCTCAATCTTTGGTGCTTCGCACCAACTCCCACTTGATGCATCCATCTTCCCTAGTGCGCCATCATTGACTGCTTCCGGCAAATGGAAAGCTATCAATGACGATGATAGCACACTCGCTGTTGTCTGTCCTGCATATTCGATGAAGTCCGGAGATTCGGGAAAGTCAGCACGCCTGTCAATGCCATTGGCCCTCCAGCAGATGGGGTCTGATATTCAAGGCCTCAATTCAATGTTTGAGCGTGCGACTCATGCTTTCGAGGCCAACGCCTCAAACGCCTCCGCACAATGTGTGGATCCTATTCCCTTACGTAGGCAGAAGGCAGTGGCGCAATTGCAGACTGAGGACTTGGAGGATTATCAGTTGCT